TTTCCAAGGGCTTTCCGAAAGCCCTGGGGGATCTAGAAATGATTTTTTTTTCATAATGTGCTCTATACCAGAAATTCTTTGAATTCTATCGAATGCCTGATGACCTGACAAACTGGCCCAGAATCAAAAGCTAGCCGAGCCTTGTGAGCTGCTAGCCAAGTTATTTATCTTGAACTACTCCTTCAAACACAACCCTCGGTGGGAAGGCGAGTGTCAGACGTGAGATCCGTGGTACCCAGATGAGTGTCATCAGCACCACCTGGGAGCTTGTTAGAAATCAGAATCAGATTCCATCCCAGACATACTGAATCAGAAATCCCGGATGATTCCTTTGTTCATTAGAGTTTGAGAAGACGGACTTAAGATATAGGAGAAGACCATTCTCATCATCAAATAGAAAGGAGCTAGGAAGAAGCTATACTTATTAATAGTTTCTGGAAGAGTTCCTTCACCTGAGGTCTGTGCCCCCAGTTCTTTCAGTGGCTCTGAACCATCATGGAAATAGTATAGCGTCTTTCTTGTGCTGAAATCACAGTGGGAAGTAGAAACCTGTCCCTGCTGTGTTGGAGCAGGTGCTGTATGGTGAAAAAAGCACCAATTTACAGTCAGAGAGACGTGGGTGTAGATTCCGACTTCACTCTCCACAGCTTTCTATTCTTGGAGTGGTTCCTTGAGCTCTCTGAGCCTCACTTTTCCTCATCCACAAAATGGGTATACCAATACCTACAGGATGGCATTTCTGTGAGGATTAAATGAGAATGTATTTATATACAAAAATGCCTGCTGCAGTCCCTGACAATAAATTTAGAGACTCTAACAAATGGTAGCTGTTATTGTTACTATTATCTTTTTTGTACGCTCTAGCTATAAAGGCCCCATGTGTCATTTTAGAATGATTTGGTGTGATTTCTAAAGAATGAGAAGGGCCATGCTAAAACAAGACCTCTGCAGAAAGTTCCTTAGAGTGATATGTAGCACACTGTGTTACATAACAGCCCTGTTCTATAAGGGCTTCCAAGACAGACCTGCAGCGACGTCAACAATAAAACAGGCTGGGATGAAAATGACCCACTGTCTCCTCTGCCTCTGACACCATCAAGATCCTTGCCAGCTGGGTTCCAAGAGCAGATTCTTTATTACAGTGATGATGTAAGAGGCAGAGAGAACAGCTGTATTTCCAGACTCTGGGAAGACTGTGTGGCCCCAGCAGCCTCTCAAAATTATCTCTTGACTTAAAAACTGACTACCTTGAATATGAAAGTCATTGAAAAAGAATAAATAGGAAACTTCATGAAGTCATTTTCACCGAGTCCTTTTTGGAGGATAACCACCCTTTAAGCAATACAACATGACACGCCATGCAGTCGTTCTGATTAATAGACCCTCAGGTGTGTGCTAAGGCAAGAGGGGAAATAAAAAGAAGGGAGAGGTGACAATTTGCCAAAACATGAAAGGAAGGTCCTAACAGCAGGATGTGGAGCTGAGAAAGAGGAGTTTGATTAAAAGGCAGAAAGATGATGTCCCCGTTTAATTATAAAATGTACAATTTAAATCAAATGTTAGGCATATTTAAAATGTACACTTATCTAATTCCACAGTGGATTTGCATGCTTCCCAGTGATTTTTCACTGCAATGTCCTAGACATATCGATCTGTGATTTCCTTTATCATTGTAATGTAGTTGCCAGGGAAAGAGAAGACAAGAAAGCTCTGTCTGGTGAGGTATTGATAACCTGTCCAGTCATATGATGGTTTACTAAGAACTCCGAAGAGCTCCTGAGTCCATTTTGCTGTTTATGTGGCTACTGGGGCGTTGATATTTAATGGACATTTCAGCACATAGCATGGCTCCACCATACTGGCCGAAACGAATATGATTAACAGGACCAAGTTGTTCCTCTGCAGAGTAACGGTGAGTAACGTGCTCACCTGGGAGAGCCGGTCTGGTAGTGCTAGAGGCTGACGTTTAACAGCTGCGTTTTTGTGGCCACATAAAAATTACTGAGATCCCCTGGAAAAGTCTGGTTTCCTCACGAGGTAAACACTGTTATCCCGACAGCACATTTGGTTCAGCTTTTCATCTTTCGGCGAGAGAAAATGATTCTGTTTGAGGATGAAGATAGAGTCAAGATTAAACAATTCCTGTTTCTTCTACCACAAGAGGAGAACAAGGGAAGGAAATTAGAACAGACTTGGGAGCAGTAATCTGTGTATTTCTACCAATAAATTAGTGATGTAACAAAAGAAAACTAAGTAAAAATTTAAACGTATAGGATAAATACTGGGCAAAGTTCGGTCGAAAAGAAGTGTTAATGGGTATAATAGCAAGATTGCGAATAGCCTATGTTTCTATAAGGTAACGAATTGAACCATAGAATTACAGCAGGTTCTCACCAAGAAGTTCAGCTGAACCTCTTGCTTTCCCAAAGCGTGAGAAATCTCTTCATTTTGGTTTTTGCTCTCAGTGTGTCACCCCAGTTGTGTTTGCAATATTGTCATAAATGTTTCTGCTGGTAATGTTAGAAAATTTTGCTTCGGCTTTAAATCCACCATCATTTTTAAACATCATTAAAAAATTAAAAGGTATTTATTTATTCAGTTTATTGAAGTGAATAACTGAAACAAAATTCTTTTTTTTTTTTGGAACCCAGTATGCCCTTGTAGACGATTCACCCCAACCCCTCACTCTCTCTGATGCTGTCACTGCTGATGGTCTGCTGGACTCACTGGTGTTGAGCAAGTGCTGATAGATATTTAAGGACTTGTGACCTTTTACATCAGTTATCATTGGTCAGCCACTAACAAGGATGTGTCCTTAGAGCAAGTCCATTCCCATCTAAAAAATGAGGGGGTTGAAGTAGATGAGTGTGTGGTTGGTTTTTTTTAAGGATTTTATTGGGGAACAGTGTGTTTTTCCAGGACCCATCAGCTCCAAGTCAAGTAGTTGTCTTCAATCTAGTTGTGGAAGGCACAGCTCACAGTGGCCCATGTGGGGATTGAACCGGCAACCTTCATGCTATGAGCACTGCGTTCTAACCAGCTGAGCTAGTGGGCCATCCCAGAGTAGATGAGCTTTAAGGTCTTTCCAATTCAGTCTCAGTTTCCGTGACTGTAAACAAGAATCTTGATTCCTTTTAAATGTTGTTCAGCAGACAGCAGCTGAGCGCAAACCTGTGTGCAAGGCATTTCACACTACAGGGAGGTATACAATGTAAAAATTGCCTCTGTCTTCAAGGAACTTATAGAGGGTGGAGATAAATTACACAAAAAATTACTAAAGTCCATAGAATGTGCAAAGGGAGTAGTGCAAAAGTGCTTAAGGATTCAAGAAGGGTGCTTTCCTTTGGGAAATGCTTCATAAATGAGGTGGCATTTGAACGGCCCCTAAAGAAGCTACATGTAGATATTGGGGAAAAAGGGAGGAAGCACCAGGCATGTGGTGAGAAAGAGTGGGACTTTGTGGCAGTGGAGCATGAACTGTAGAGGTAAGACGAGGAAATTAAATTGGGGCTACATTGCAGGGGCCTTGAATGCCAAACTAAGTTTGCATTTAATCCAGTAAGCACAGAGCAGAGGAGTGATATGTTGAGAATGGTACTTTAGAAAAATTGATGTAGTGTTGGTGTGAAGCATGGGCTAGAAGCAAAGAGAATCTAGAGGAAGTGAAGCCAGCTAGGAGGCTCTCACAGAAGTCCTGGCAACAGGTGATAAAAGGATAAATCAATGTTCGGATAGAAAGCAGGTATTGATTCAGGAAACACAGCCTGAGTAAAAACCACAGGACTTGGCGGCTGATTGGATATGGGAAGTAAAAAAAAAAAAAAAAGGGGGAGGCTTAAAGAGGACTCCTCAATTGTAGGTCCAAGTAACTGGATGACGGTGGTCCCAATGGCAGGAAATGAGAAGGCTGGAGAAAACATATTTTGAAGGAAAGGCAGCGAATTCTTATTTAAACTTTCTGAATTAGAGCTGGCTGTGCAGTAATGATGGATATGTGAGCTTCTCAAAGTTAGAAGCCATTAGAAGCCACATCTTATTCATCTTTTCTAGGTGCCTAGTAGATACTATATAAATGGATGGATGGATGGATGAACGAACAAATGAACAGATTGATGAACCAATAACCAGTAGTTATTTAGAATGTGGGCTGGAGCTCTGTAGACAAGCAAGAACTAAAGATAGCAATGTGGGTGTTCTCTGTGGAGAAGTGATTGTTGAGGTCACGGATGGTGGGTGTAGGCAAAGCCTGAGGAGAGAATCCTGAGGAATATCTACATTTGGGGAACAGGAGAAAGAAGACCAGCCAATGAAGGAGGCAGAAGAGAGAACTGAGGGTGGGACGAGGGTCAGGAACGCAGGGTCAAAACGCAGCGTCCCAATAAGAGGGGATGAGAGTTTCAGGAGGCAAGTGGTCATTGGGGCCCAACATGGCCGGAGGGGCAAGGCCTGGGGAAAGGCCCCTGCGTGTGAGGCTCTGAGACAAATGACATTCAATTCTGTAGCCCCGAAGGCTGAACTACACAGGTTAGAGGATAGGGGAAGAAATGGAGACTTCGTAGTGAAGGGCAGGGAGAAAGCAAGAGCTCAGAAATGTGGCCAGGCCAGCAGGTGTTTTGAGAATACATAAGAACTGAGCACTAAAGAGGGAGAAACTGCAGTGGAATCGAAAACAGTAGAAGAGTCGGCTGGGCCAGGCTGAAGGACCCTGGCCCCACTCCCTCACCCTCACCTTCCACCTCACTGTCTGACTCAGAACCACAAAATCAGTTCCCTCCTCACTGACAGGGTGCTGTCGATGTTCTCAGACCATACAGACAGTCAGGCAAAAAACGCTAAAATGGAGCCTGGAGAACGCCCTCCCCACTTCCCTGCCCTGACCTGCAAAAGTGCAGGACCAGCCTTTCAACCAAGCCCCACCGCTCTGTCGCTGTCAAAATGAATCATGGCCATCACCAGTCCGTTTAACATTCTGATTTTTGTTTGTGTCTCATCTGATCTAGATGCAGCCGCTCTCTGTTCCCTGCCCCAATGATCATCTGCACTAGGCCCAAGTCTTGGAGTGATTTACCTGAAGAGTGACACCATTTATTTGGAAACTACTGTGAGTACATTATGCCTCCAATGAAAGGACTCTTAGTTCACTTTGTTTAATTAAAAAAAAAAACCCACACAATAGTAAAAGCAGATGAAATTTTAGATGGCTTCATCTCTTGGATGCAGCGAGGTAATCGGACTCAGTCCTGAGGTGCCCACAGCAGCTCTCAGCTTCCAGCCTGCACGGCACACCCTGGGCGGCATCACGCCTTCCTCCTGGGCGGCTTTGCCAAGTTGGCTCTGAGCGCCCCTTGCACGCACTGGTGCTGTTCTGCCTGGCCATCTGTGCCCCTCCCTGAACCAGTGGTAGCCCCTGCCCGACCTGTTCACCTCTCGTCACCCCACTGTGCCACTCTGTCAAGACTCACGGCAGCTTGTCATTTCATGCCACTCTGGTCAAATCCAGGAGCCAGCTTCCCTTGCCCATGGCTACCTGTTGTCTGAGCTGCATCTCTGTGCCCAAGTTGTTGTCTCCTTGCTACTCTAGGGGGCTGAGGTCCGCCCTTTGGCACTCGGGGCTCCTTCAGCCACATCTTTAAGCCATTGTATCCAGCCCAGCTCTGCCCTCTGGATGCATGGCTCTGCGTACTGGGGTTAGTTCCCCCCGTGAAAGGCATTTATGTAGAAGTACAGCCCTTGCAAGGCAAGGGGCAGAAATAAGTTGGGATAAGAGACAGGATGCCTCCAGGAACATAATGATGAAAGATTGATATCCAGTACTCATTAATCATTACTAAAATTAACAGATGAAAATATGGGTGTGTTTTTTTCACTAGAAAACCAGAATTTAAATTATTTAGAGGCTATGCATGCAAAATAACTTAATTACACATTTTAAAACAAAATCTCATTCTAGTTGTTGTATTCACAAGTTTTCTTAAATAGTATGAGGCAGGTGATGGGATAGTATTTTGCAGACATCTCTGACGCTGGAAACCGCTAAACCTAGGAGGCTAACATCCCTCTTAGGCTTCAGGTGGGATCTTCACATTTATATTTTCTATGTCTTTAGCTATTCTGGTGAAAAGCGAACCCAAAGGGATAAAGCCGGAGTTTTTGTTTTGCTTTGTGTTGCCTTTTACCTTTACGATTTAAGTCACCTGAATTGGTGACTTAATTGGTAGCGAATGTGTAGATGACAGACTGTAGATGGAAACCATTGCAGTGCTCAGCAATACTAATGGGTGCAAGTGACTGGGGACTAAAGACATGACACAAGATCAAACATAGAGCTTCTTCATTTCATAGCCATGCAAGGCACTTGCTAGCGTAGCACCTTCACTCATCCGGAAGTTCCAGTGCAAGGCACACCTGGATGGTTTCCTGAGTGTTTCTTCATCACAGAGTCACTGTGGTGGGGCAGGTAGCACAGCTGTACCAGGATGCAGACAGATTTCAGAGTGTCAGTACCCTTTGGGAGAGCAAAACGTTTTCTACCCCTCCCACCTTCTTGTACTGCAGAGAGCCCAGATCCAGAGCCAGAAATCAGGACCTACAGTTTCCTGAAAATCTCGAGGCAGCCCACAAGTGAGCACCTATTTCTGCCACTGGAAGTATTTCACCTGTGCCAGCTTTCACATTTCACAGGTCCTAGGGAATGGGCAGATTGGGTCTAATCCTTGCAGTCTCTGCTTTTCAGAAACTCAGCTCCCTCGTATATTAAAGAGAAAAAATAATAACTCACAGGGACTTGCTAGGTGCAAAAAGCAATAAGGTAAATAAGTCTAAGAATAGGGACTAATTACAAAAATGTGTCCCATCCTGTGGGTTGACATTACCCTGGCCAGGGCTGAAGGCTTAGGGGTAGATAGGATTAAAAACCTACGCACTCCCATACCACCTGGACACCCATGCTCAGTGGCTTTGCCTACCTACCTGGATTGTTGAGAAAATTAAATGAGAGAATGTATATATATATATATATATATATATATATATATATATATATATATAATATATATATATAGTGTCTGGCATAGCAGAGGTAAGCATATTTACTCAGTCAACTAAAATTTACCGGACATTTACTATGTGCCAGGTACTGTTCTAGGCACTAGAGTTATGGCAGCAAACAAACAAGAATACCTGCTCTCATGGAGCTTACATTCAGTTTTCTTCTCTCGTAAATGGCAAATAGACAAAATAGGTATGTGAATACCAAAAGAGAACTGATGTCATTTTATTTTGCTGTTTCTTTCCTTCTAGAAAGTAAAATTGAGAGGAAAAGGGTGGAGGACTGGAGAGGGAAAGGATAGATATGCCAATTAGTCTCCTACCACCCCAGGACACACACACACACACACACACACACACACACACACATGCAGCCATTCTCTGCCCTGATTGGTAGTCCAGGAGGCTGACCTCTCTGGACTCCATTACCCAGGCTGCCTTCTCCTCTAACTTCCTTTTGACTTTGGCCTAAAGGAAACATCAGCAAGAGATGAAAAGCTGGAGGAGAGTGAGGTCGCAGCATTTATTAATCAAGACCCCCTTCCCAACTCCAGTTGGGACTTAGAGAACACCAGGCCTTTCCTTGCTCCTCCAGTTGAACAGTGTAAAGCTGGGATTTCACAGCTTTCCACCGCTGCTAGTCCCTGATGCTTTACCATCCCTTAAGGGTCCCTTAACCTCATCCATACCTCAGTAGACAGTCCTTTCATTAAACTCTCTTCAGTTAAAACCCTTGAGTGTGCCATCTGTTTCTTGCCAGAATCCTGACTGATAGATACAGAGGGAGAAATACGCTGAAAAAACATTATACATCAGCCTTGCCAAGAAGGTTAAAAACAAAAAAAAATTGAGAGAATAAAATGTTTTAATCACGAAAACATCTTAAATTGATCTGAGAACATTAGACCAAGTAGCGAAAGAATAAATTGTAAGAACATGTGATAAGAGAATGCCAAAGGTTGGTGTTAATGAATAGACCGTAGTGCTCAGGTTTGATGGGCTTCTATAAGCCAAGTGTGGCTTGCTTGACCCTCAGTATCAAGAGGAGCACTTGGTGTAGCAGCAGCAGCAGCAGTGACAAACACGTGAACAGAAAGGAGGTGTCGGGGGTTCAGACGGTAAGAGCGAAGTGTGGAGGAACAGATTGCTTATCCTAGCATTCTTTCCGCCTTTGCTACAATCAGAATCCATTTGCCCCTGCCCAAATCTAGATATTAAAAAAGATAACGGAGATAAGGGAAGTGCCCTGTTATAGTTTAAATGACAAAAACCACAGAGCTGACACCGTCTGTGACGGCAGTTACCACCACCATTGGGCACTGACCATGTGCCAGCACTGTGCCAACCACACGGCATGAGTTAGCTCATTTAATTCTCACAGCAGCCCTAGAAAGTAGCTATTAGTATTTCTACTTTACAGATGATGAAACTGAGGCCCAGAGAAGCAGAGTAACGTGTTTAGTAGAGCACACAGTTACTAGATGGTGGAGCTCAGTTCTGCCACCAACCCCCATTGAGTTGTTTGTTACTATCTGCCCTTTGTCCCTCACCCCCAAACACTCTACCAAGCCTTTCCCTATGTGCTGTAGGGGAAGAGAGTAAGGAAATGGCTACCACTCCAAAAAGATTCGGCGGGGAGGGAGGGTGGTGACATTATTGGTCTAAATTGTCATGATCCAATGACTAAGTAATTGTTAATCCAAAGGAGGTTCTTGCTAATTCTTTCCTGTCCAACCAGGCTGATAAGCAGAGGGTGTGTTAATGTGCAGGAGAGGGTGGGAACCCAGCAAAGGGAAAAAATGAGGAGAGGGAGATAGAAGAGAGCACTCCTCTCTCAACAGACCCTGGAGACTGATAAGAGCTTGCGCAGATAAAATATTTATTTTCCATATGTTGCAGAAAGCATTGCCATCACTGTATGTGTGCAATATGTGCAAGAAAGTGTGAAATATATACATCAAATGCCACCGATCTGGTTAATTTCCATGCATTTAACATGCTCGATACCTACCGTCACATCAATATGTTTTAATGCATATTTCTCTCCACATACAATATGGTCTAGTAAGGAAAGAGCCAACAGCATCCACAGCCTTCCTCACTGCTATGTTTCAGCCCAAAACTTGCAGCCCCGGCCAGCACAATGAGAGTTAAAAATCAGAGGGTCCTGCTGGCTAACCCAGCCGCGAGTCACCTTAAACCGCCTTCCCAGTTCTTGAAGCGGCCTTTTTCTCATAACAGAAATCTCTGCAGTGGGGAGACGAAAATGTTTTTGTTCTCTTCGGACAACTGGGAAATATTCAGTAAGAATGTCAGAACTGACCGTTGAAAGGCAGGTGCCTGCGGCCACACTTTTTTTTTTTTTTTTGAATGCTGAGCTCCACCAGTGTGGCGGGAGGAAGTGCACAATGATTGGTCTGTTTCTCTGTGGAAGTGTTCAGGGTACACCCAGTTTTGCTTTGCATATATTTACGAAACATCTGCCCTTTTCTTGTTCTGAAATCCTTCCCCCGCACCAGCCCCCTTTCCCCTTTCTCCCAGTTTCTTTCTTTGTTGCTGTTGGCTTGTCTAACTTTTTCATTGGAGCTTTCATTTTCCGGTTGAGGGGCGACTACATAAGAGTGTATAATTTTAACATTAAGCGATGGAGGGAGGGAAGGCAAAGGAAGAGGAGGAGGAGGAGAGAGAAAGAGAGAGAGAGAGAGAGAGAGAGAGAGAGAGAGAGAGAGAGAGAGAGAGAGAGAGAGACCTGAAAAGAAAGAGGCTGAGCGGCCAGAGCTTGGCAAACCGAACTTTGGCATGGTGACCAGGAGGAAGGGTCTGGTCTGGTGGGGAGTTTGCCTCTGAAACGCTGCCTGGACTCAGCTGGTGTGCTGCTGCCCTCTAAAGGCTCCAGGGGATAATGCACAGCCACACAGGCTTGGACAGACTTGTCCTCTGATGTGCCCTGTTTATGTAATTGTTTTTACACAACCAAAGAAGGTATTTCCAATTAATGACTGCAGGAGACTTGCTCTTTCCTCCACAATAAACTATGAACTGCAAAAATGGCATCACAATAACAGCACCTATGCATTTCTAGACATAGACTGCTGCCATGCGTCAGTGTTTCTCAACTCCGGAAAAAGGAGTCCAAAAGAACCATTAGAGAGAGTGAGATGGGGAATGAATTGCTCCTTAGGACAGTGAGCGGCTCTGTGTTATCTGTGCAGATGGGAAACAGCCCAGTGGTATAAAGACAAGTAAAGCGATATTAGGCAAATGAGGGTATGAGCCAATTAAGGTTGAGCTTTCAGTATTTTCTGTGCATAGAGGTGGCTCCAGTGCCTCTGTTATGAATGTTCGCCAAAGGTGACCCTTAAGACAGCAAACAGGAGGGTCTAGTGCAAGATGTCAGGTAGGAATCAGAACCAAATCTAGGGAAGAAAGCCAGGGCATTGATATAAAGAACAACACAGTTTGTGCAGTCTTGGAAATGAAAGAGTAATATCTCCATGTACTCATATTTGAAAGAAGGCTTCCTTAATTTCCTAACGTACACATCTGAAACTAGCCTAGACCTTGTCTAAGAGCAGCATAGATAAGTTTTTTTTTCTGTTAAGTGATACCTGACATCCCTATATTTAAATGAATCATGAGGACCAGCCTAGCTTTAGTGAGCAAAATGGCTCCACTCTTATCAAATACCCTTCATGGATTCAAAGAGAAAGCAGCACTCAAGGTAGATTTCACTGGTGCATAAAGAGTAGGAAATGTAACTGGCATTCAGACTATAGCTATTTTCAAAATATACTTTAATTTCAACTCCATTTCATTCCATCAACAAACATCTATTGAATGACAGCTTTGTCTAAGCATACACCAGACAGCAAACTCTGGGAGGGCAGAAACCAGGCTTGCTTCATTCTCTAACCCATGCTGGCACATCATAGGCACGTAATAAATATTTGTAAGATGAATATGTGAATAAATGAAGGGGTAGGAAAGGAAGAAGGGAAGAGTGGATGAACACAAGGATTCCAAAATAACTCAGACATTTCCTTACCCTCAGAGAGTTTACAGTATCATAGGGAAGGGATAAGCACATAAATAAGCATTGTTGAAAGAAAATTTAATGAGTAAAATAAAAGAAGTAAAAATCGTTTGGGGATTTTAGAGAAAGGTGGAAGGGAAGAGAATTGCAGAGAGAGAAGTCCCATCTGGTAGAGGGGAATCAAGACAGGTACAATATGTAGACAGCATTCAATAAGTATAAAAGATAAGTTTGATTTCAACAGTTAGAGTTGAAAAGGGAGCATTGAGAGCAAGAGAATAACTTGAGCAAAAATGTAGAGCCAAGGGTGTAGCTTCCCTAGGATGCCCTGGGAACATTCGAGAAATTGGAGAGCCCAGTATAGCCAATATGGAGGGCATGTGAGCTAAGCTAGAGCAGATATAAAACTCACCGTGAGTGTCAGACTAATGTGGCCACCTCGGGTTTAGTGAATGCACAGATGTGGGACGAGAGGAGTCAAGGAGAATGGAGAGCCAGAAAGTCAGCAACAGTCTAAATAAAAAGTGTTTGGGTGCTTGCATTGGAAATGGAAAGGAAACCCAGATGTGAAACATATAAAAGACGCAGAATTGTCAGGACTTGACGGATTGGCTTGAAGGCAGAGGAAGGTATATGACCCTGAGGTTTCCCACCTGGTGACAAACAGTGATAGAAATGAGAACCTTAGAGGAGGCATTGGTTTTCATGGAAAAAAGGAGTTGGGCTTTGGAGACCTTCATCCTGGATACCTCCTTAAACTGAAAACCAGAAACCAGCTCCTTGGAGGTCCAAGTAGACACTCAGAATTTGGGGGTTAGTGCCACAGTCACTCAATTCAACCAGCAGTTGGTAAAGCATTTCAGTTTATTTCTTCTCTCGTGTTGGCTCCCTCCATACTGAAAAATGTCTGCAAGCTTCCCCTGTGATTTCATCTTTACCGTGCCATGCCTGCCCCCCTGCCCTCTGAAAAAGCAGATTTTATTTTACAGCCTGTTGGACCAGAAACACAGCATGCTAATCATAACACCATATTCTGCGAGGGCAGATCTAACTACCCAGTTACAACAAATTTCAATACAAAATATTTTGTATAACAAGTCCATCGCCATGCTTAGTGAAACAAGGAAAACATGGAAACAATTCCACTTACAACAAACTCGGTACCACACGTAACCTACCAAAAAATAAAATAAAGTACTTTCCCCGGTCGCCATGCACATAATTATAGAAAAAGACACAGAGCCAAGGAAATTGGGGAGAATTTTTAGGGTATGATTAATAATCCAGTTTGGCAGAGGCCTAGGTACATGCAGTCTAAATTAGGTATGTATTCATTTATATCAGCATCGTTCTGGGGAGAGAAGACCAGAGCTGACCTGTAGCTGAGCTCTTTTACTTCCTATTCCTGACCCCAAATAACGGTTAGCAACAGTTACTTTCTAATTTCCGTACCCATCTTTTCCTCACATCCCAAACACACAGTCACACTCCTGTAGTCCAGAATCATGCACCAAATCAAACAAAACAAAACAAAACAAAACAAAACAAAACAAAAACAACAAAGGGGATCATAAGCTTTGGATGAGTAAAGAGTTGGAATAGAGGACCTCTGTGTGACATCATCCCTCCACCGACCAGAATCTCAGCTCTTCTTTTCACCTTTCAATTGCTACTTTAACAGAAACCTCCATCACTATCCCCCGCTCATCTGTACAGCCTGCAAATTGAGATTGTGATTTGAAATTAAGTATTGATCTAAAATAGATTCTAATGAAACTGCAAGAAAGTTAAATGTTCCATGATGTGTTCCATGAATAGAAACTGAAAGCTGGAAGGTACCTTTAAGGCCTTCTAATCCAAGCCCTTTATTTTACAGATGAGGAAACTGAAGCCCAGAGAGGTGAAGTGAGGTGCCCAAGGCCACACAGCAAGTTAGAGGCACAGCTAGTACCATAGCTCAAGTCTCCTGACTCCCAGTCCAGTGCTCCTCCCATTACTCCACGGGTCCTGTCTCTAAGCTTCCTGACAAATGCTAGAACGGTAAACCTCCACTAGTATTTTTCCAGACCATGTTAAAACTCTTAAGGGGGAAAAAAAAGGATGCTTTCTTGGATAATGTCAGCCATACGTAGCTCAAGCTGTCTAAAGTTCTGGGACAGGGTCTTTTTATGCAGCCAACAGAGTCCAAATGTGGTGCTGTTTGCTTGGCCCATATGCTTTCATGTGTTCCCAGTTAGGCCATTACTGGAGGGAAAAAAAAAACAAGAATCAGCTTGTTTTAAAACAAGGGACATACTGGACTCTCTCCCATCCCCCCTCAGAAAAAAAAAAATCAAGTTATCTTTAACAGATTCTAAAAATGCCTTTTCCCAAATATGCAGTCAGTTCCTTCAAAGGGCCCTTTGTTTATTTTCAGGAAGAAACCCAAGACAGCTGAAAACCAGAAGGCATCTGAGGAGAATGAGATTACTCAGCCGGGTGGATGCAGCGCCAAGCCGGGCCTTCCCTGCCTGAACTTTGAAGCTGTTTTGTCTCCAGACCCAGCCCTCATCCACTCAACACATTCACTGACAAACTCTCACGCTCACACCGGGTCATCTGATTGTGAGTACACCAGTAAGGTGACGGTGTCTTCGTGGTGCTTGGAGCATGCTTCTCCCCTGGGTTCTGGCTTTTTTGCGTTCAGAGAAAGCTGTGTTTCCATTCGGTCTTCTAAAGTAGCCAAAAGTAACTTGCCACCATTTTGATTCAGCCAACATCTATTATTTTCAGAGCTGGAGTGTTAAAACCAGGTGACCAACCAGTTAGCCTCAAAAGGCTGATTAGTTACACAAATCACATTTTCTTCTTTCCTAATGTTAAGTCAAAAAACGAGGTTGTGAAGTTGTGTTGCTTTTCTAATGATTCTTTTGTCCCCATGATCTGAATAACGGCACTTCTACCATAACTTAACTGAACAACCAAATATGGACCTCAGCAGGCCAGTGAGACATAAGGAAACATCCATTTTGAAATTACATAACACAAATCAGCTTTGCATTAGTTATTGGAGTCTCATGTAGCTTGGCTGAATTTCTGTCTTTCCAGTTTTTAATTTATTTTGAAGTGGTTAAAGGATAGCATAAATTTACAGAAGAAAAGAGAATGGCTTCCAAGAATTCAGAAGCCACCCAGACTTCACGTAGCCAATAAGAATTCAGGTTAAAAATATTTTTTAATTAAAAAAACTGCCTACAGGCTAAATTTGGAAATGGGCAGCTTAATGAGATCGTCGCTATTGAAATCACTCCATTGCTGTTTATTTTTGCTGTCTTTCCACTAAACGGGGAGTCACTTCTTTAAATTCTATTTTAAGGAAGTTGATAAATCACATTTAGGAGATGTTTTTTTCTCTTTCTGAAACGTAACTCAATACTTCAGGGAGAAAGAAATATGTGTGTTGACAAAGGAAAAGAATGGAAAAACTTGGGGATCCGACCCGAAAGAATACTCCTTTCAGTCTTGAGATACCCAACAACTATGCTAAACTGATCCCCGTAAAGGAAATCAGGAGAGAGGAAAAGAGCTGGCATGTTCTTCTTTAAAATGACCAGGAAAAGTTTCATGTTCAAAAAACGGACTCCATTAGGGCCGGCCGAGTGGCTCAGTTGGTTAAGAGCTAGCTCAAGAGTTTGAGCTCTGAGCAATAGGGTCCCCGGTTTGATTCATGGCCCAAGCTGAGCTGCCGCTGAGCTGCCAACCGGTGGCAGGATGGCTCAGCTAAAAAAAAGGACTCCATTGATCCTGTCCACAAAAACAAAAGTAATTAATTAGGAAATGAAATGAGATTCTAAATGTCCTAGTATTATTGTTCTGACGAAACAAATGTAAACCTCTACAAAGAGGGCGTAGAGGTTCATGAGTCTGGGAGATTCCATGCCCCACTTGCTACTTCATAATAGTCTCTAGATAAAGGGACAAGACCTAGGGGTTGGGGTAAAGGGAGATTGTTCTCTTCGGGGCTGGGCTGAGTCCGCACACTGGCTGTCAACATGAAACGAGAAGTAATGAGACCCAAATCTCTACAGCCTGTGTGATTTGCACAAAGGTGCTGCCTCTGTAGAGAAAGCTGGGGGACAAAAGCCGGGGCTCGGTTCTGCAGACCGTTGTAATAGTAACATCCTTGGCCCTTTTTGCCTGGCAGTCTCCAGCCTAATAGTAATTACAGGAAGAATTGGAAAACAGCGTGGCTCAGTGCCCACAGACATGTGCACACTGCCCTACCTAGCAGGAAGGTAGCCTGTTCCTGTGGAGAAGGGCCTGGGGCTCCTGTGTGCAGAGCCGCATCGCCTGGCTTTCTGCCACACCTTATGGGGCAGATTACATAGAATGGCCTTAGCCAGAAATAGCCCTGTGACAGCAAAGTGAGTGTTTTTCAGACTAGGAGAAGCACTGGGCTTCATGTATTGTATTTTACCATAAGCGTCCTCTGACCAGGCCTTGGCATCAGCATGGAATACGAACAAGGAACTGGACACGCATGGCACTGCGTCCTCGGCCATGAGGAAGCCAGTGGATCCGAGCTCAGTAAGATGTCTGAATGCAGTTGGAAGGAGAACAAATAGGGAGGAGAAACCTAATCTCCAGCTGTTTAAAAAGTCATTTTGATTTTGCCATTAAGACGTGAAAGTCTTCTCTGCTCCAACCTGTTGTTCAACTTGATTGTGCTTTTCTCCAAATATATGTTCGGATTGTAGTTTGTCTAGATGTGAACTTACAGTTAGAAGAAAATTGTTTTTAGGAAAGATTCAGAGAAATCTGTCTATTTGGAGATTGCTTAAGAGAAGACAGCAAAGAGGTTTATTTTAAGCTGTTAAAATTGTTGGATGTTCTTCCATTCAAGAGGATTTTTCTCTTTTCTTTCTGTCTTCCTCTTGCATTTTCTTTCGTCCTTTAATTTTTAAATGCCATTCTTACAACAGATTCATTTAAAGGCCTGATTTCTTTAAGGTAAAAGACTCAGTTCCTATTTAGAACTAACAGATTTGGGGCATTTAAAAATAGTGCCCTTGACTTGTTAGTCTCTCTAACTGCAGAAACATTTCCACCTCTGTGTGGTGTTCCAAGCTTTCACAAGTGCCTGCATTTTTATGGCGCCTTTGTATTTGTCATGTGTTTAGCGAAACTATTCTGAGCCGTGCTTAATGCCCATTTCCTGTCAGCGGTTATAATTCTTCCCAGTTTACAGATGAGAAAATCGACACCCAGATAGACGAATGACTTGCCGGATAGTTAACGCATTCAGTTGCTGGGTGATGTTCATGGCTTTGCTCTCGCCGTGAGCCGCATGCATTCTCCATTCCAAGTCCAGACATGGCATTCCTGGCTCTAAATAGGCATCTTGAAAATGTGCAACTACTCATATTGGTGAGTGAGTTATGAAACACGATGTCTAAATGCTCTCACAGAAGAAAAGTCAGCTCCGAATAGGAATGAGAAAGGGTGGGTAAGCCACAGCGTGTTGTGACATGTGAAGGAAACAGGCCCGAGTTGAGGACCAAGAGGACAAGCCTGACCCCGTCAGTTCTCAGTGGACTATTTAACCTGCTGAGCCACTTCAGATTTGGCCAAAGATCCCAGTAATATTTAAAACAAGAAGGAATACTGTTGAGAAGTGCTTTCCTGTGGGAGAAGATGAGGTTAAATTAACGTTGCCCCTGAAATGTGTGCTGCTTTGCAGTGCACCCACTAGCAATTTCCTTGTAGCAGTATTCATTCCCCCATTACCTCCTAGCTTGTCACCTCTTCACCATTTCTAAAAATCTAACAGTAAACAAACTCAGATGATGATAATGGAAGGCGTTATGATGAGTTTTGGAATGTCAAGGGTGCGAAGCCCCTGAACAGTGACCCATGGAACAGGCCGAGGAGGAGCTGAGCAGACGCTCCCCTCCATGCTGAAACAGGACTGAACCACGTCAGCCACGCGGCTCTCCGTGAAACCCGTCCTTGACGACTATCAAGCTGTAGCACATTACAGCCAATATAGGTGGTAGAGGCAACCAGAACTTTTACTTGCATATTTCTTCCATTTCAGTTTCCCCAAAGTAAGCCTTCCCCTAAAGGAAAAAGAGAAACGACTCTTCCCCCTTGGGCAGTCTCCCTGCTCTGAGCTGTAGACCCACCTATTCTGATGTCCTTGTTTTGTTGGAAGCTGACACCCATTGTTACTTACCTTCCCATGTTTTGCACTGGTCTTACCAGGAGGTCTTGTTTTGTGTGTGTGTGTGTGACTTTGTCAGGATGCACTTACCTTTAACAGTTTTTATTTATTTTTAATTTAACCTTTACACATTACCAAACTGTTTGTTGTGTGGGTGGGTTTAACTTTAGTTCTGTAGGTAGCATGACTCTACAAGGCTGAACACTCCAGGAGAGTGATGGGTCGGCCTCTCTCTCTCTCTCTCCCCCTCTCTCTCCCTCCCTCTCTCTCTCTCCCTCCCTACCTTCACTGGCCTTCCACCTCCAAACCCCGTCCAAGTCTCCGAGATTAAAATTTTTAGTACACTTGGTTCGGTTTGAACTTTGAAGCAATTTTTTTAGAGAACAAAACAAAGAGGATGTTTTATGGCCAACTCCATTAATGCCACATTAAGGCTGACATTTTAATTACCCCAAAGTCAGGAAATGCAAAGTTCAGGTTCCCACAGCAACAGAAACTGTCCCCTTAAGTGCCGGCATTACAGCAGATTCTTTCATTCCCTGATTACACAACACCGGGCATGGGGACATTGTTTGTATCCACATATGTGGAAAGGAGCACGGCTTATAGCCTTTGTTTTTTTCCTGTAACTACAGTTGAGGACATGGGTCGTTAGCTGCCCTCCCCAAACCATCTCTGTGTATGGTCCTGGAACGGAAGGCTGTTATAGCTCTGCGTGTGCACACGGACAGAATTAAAGTTGCTGTGGGAACATTAACTCTGATTTCCGGACTTCCGTGCCAGTCACATTTAAACCATAATGTTGTAATTTTTGGCATGTAATAAATGTGCATTTCATGTACACAGACAGAAAGAAGCATAAAATGTATTTTAAAGAGCAATTAATTACTAACTTTGTGATTAAAAAACATTTGGTGCGTGTTCCTTCCCATTTAGCATCAGCTGCTGGTCTTAGCCAGGCCTAATAGATGACATACTGTGTCTCATCCTGTATCTCAGATGTACTTACTGTATGTTCCTGTTCTTCTAGATAATTAATTCCCTTAGTAAAGCTGTAGGGGGAAAACAAAATGGAAGGAATATGCAAGCATGTAAATAGGGGAAAGGATATTTTGAAGGAAATGATTCATTTCTGCAAATAAACCTCTTAGTCCCTGATAAAGAGCCAGAAATCTGCTAAGTGGGTGTAGACAATGGTTCCTGGCCACCTTAGAGCATCTGGTCCGGAGCCATAAGAATGACTTGAAAGCAGATTTCCCCCTGAATTCCGGGCATGCCCAGTGGGGGAGTGATTTTATACTCTGTAGTAACTTCTCAGGCTTATGGCTTACAAAGTTATGTTACTCGGTAACAGCTTTACAGTTTACATTCAAACTGGAAAAGAAAAATGGTAGGGAATCAA